TCTTAGGAACCTTAAGTGCAGCAGAATTTTTTTTGTAACCTTGGCCAGATCTGTGCCTTGCCACAATTCTGTCTCTGAGCTCTTCAGGCAGTTCCTTTGACCTCATGATTCTCATTTGCTCTGACATGCACTGTGAGCTGTAAGGTCTTATATAGACAGGTGTGTGGCTTTCCTAATCAAGTCCAATCAGTATAATCAAACACAGCTGGACTCAAATGAAGGTGTAGAACCATCTCAAGGATGATCAGAAGAAATGGACAGCACCTGAGTTAAATATATGAGTGTCACAGCAAAGGGTCTGAATACTTAGGACCATGTGATATTTCAGTTTTTCTTTTTTAATAAATCTGCAAAAATGTCAACGATTCTGTGTTTTTCTGTCAATATGGGGTGCTGTGTGTACATTAATGAGGAAAAAAAATTAACTTAAATGATTTTAGCAAATGGCTGCAATATAACAAAGAGTGAAAAATTTAAGGGGGTCTGAATACTTTCCGTACCCACTGTACATATAGCTCCAGAGGCGCCAGGTCCATTCAAATGTGCCCTCTCAGATTTCTGAGCCAAATGGATTTTGAATGCAGCTTCCAAAAGACTTCCAAAAAATTACATTTGATAATTACGTTCCACAATTATTGTAGGTACAACATGAACAGTGCCCCAAAACTGTCATCTTTTAGTGAATTTCAGAGTTTTCAAGCTAAAAAAGATAACTTAGCCTAGTTGGAGTTTTTGCATATGGAATATCTATTTTTAGCATTTTGTGAAACTGACTGCTGCTGATCAACCAAAAAGATAAGGTGCAGTTTTAGCCTTGTAGCATCCAGTGCTTATATTTTAAATTAATTTGTTTCTGTTAGCTGCAGAATATGTGGAAGCCTGAATCGATGCAGGAATTACAGGCCTAATGTTCTTAATTTTCTTCTTAATATATTCAGGCATAGCGAGAGAAAATGCATTAATAATGTATGTTTCCACTTGAAATCATAATTTGAAATTATATAATTGGAGCTGAAGACAATGTAGTCATTATTACAATAAAAGCTTAAGTAAACTTTTATTATAAATAATAATAGTTCGTTTTTTTAGGGTTTTTTTTCATGAAACCATGAACTGATAAAATGTATACTTAAAATTCAATTTAAGTTGCTTTGGATAAAAGCAGCTGCCAACTGCATAAAATATTAAATTAAAGCCATATGTGCATTAATTCAAGATCATCCTGGCAGGTGCATTTCAGTGTTGCTTTCATGCAAAAAGACAATACCTGATTTTGAACCATTGATGTGTCAAATAACAGTTTTATTGACGTCAAGGAACATTGCCAGACTATAATTGTGAACTACCATACATTGCCATGGTAATCAAGTTCTTCTCATTCAGGTGCTGTCAATGGTTTGTGAAGGTCGAGACTGGCCCAACTAAATGGGAGCACAAAGACCATTTTATTGCATAATGCACAAGTTGTATTGCTTTTTTGAGCCCTTGTCTGTTTGCTGTGACATTATGTGTGCTAACAGTACAATACACATTTGTAACCTTATTATCGGTAATGACATTGGTCTTTGGTAAGTCTATGTGTGTTAAATCTGAATTATTTAATGCTTTCACTTGTAATAATTGTTCTTTTATTTTTGTTCATTCGCTACACTTTTCTTAACGCCACTAAACAGGCAATAATATATAAACCAGTTTGGAAGCACAGAGGTTGTGCTTCAATGAACGCTTGTGATGCAAGTGGCTTTATTGGTGATGTTTTTAACTGACCTTTAACTGTGATTTAAAAATAACTGTTACAGTAATTATTCAGCTATTCTTCATTATACAGTTCTCAGCATGTCTGTCTGCAATAGGGTTACTTTCCATGCTGGGCCGTAGCTCAGAGAAGCCCTACGCTCCACTGAATTTGGTGGCAGACTTTGCTGGAGGAGGTCTCATGTGTGCTTTTGGGATTGTGTTGGCTCTCCTGGAAAGGAGCAGGTCAGGACAAGGCCAGATCATTGATGCCAGCATGGTAAGATACAGCACTTTGTCTTAAAATGGGTTCCTGCTGACAAATTGTTATTAACTTCTCTTTGAAATACCAGTAGAACAATTTCCTGTTTCCTACAGACTCTTTTGAATGTGATTGTTTCCTGGACCGGTTAGCTAAAGCTAAAGAGTTACTGGAAAAAGAAGTACTTGTGCTGACTTGCTTTCATTCATACCATCAAAGTTATATCATACTGAGGGTG